TGCCGGTGGTACAATGCAAAGTTTGGGTATGCCAAAGATTGGAAAAACCGTTGGGAAGGAATGATAGTAGTCTATGCTTCATCGGAAACGATGTCCGCAAGCTTTGTGGAAGCCGCCATGATCCAACGCTTCAAGGGTACCCTGTCTGAAAAATTGATATTGCAACAGTCTTCCAATGTAGTACGCTGGCCCCCCTTTGATGCACCCCGAAACACACACGCCATATCGCGCCATCTTAGGCAAGCAGGGATGCAAGAATGAGAGGGATGGCGGTGAGACGGTTCGGCAATCCGATGCAGGACCATTCTTGGTGTATTATGTATTTCGATCATTTCAAAGACCAAGTGATGGTCCATTGATGCGGGGTCGTGATGTTTCCGAGCAATGTTGAAACATCCGCAAACTTGCCGTGGGGTGGAAAAGGATGGAAAAGAGGTTCCTGAACAATAAATATACCTGTCAGCTCATTACAGGCTTCATGCAACAAGTAAAATGTTGGAACATCAATGATGCCGTGCCACATCTAAGGTTGGTGGCCATGATTGAGAAGGAGAAAGGCAAAGTGAAAACGCCGTTCCTTGGCCCAAACTGGACTATGTATATAGCACTCACGTTTCTATAACCAATATCTATGGCCACGTTCCTTTATAGGTCTTTGCTGCCAAACGCTGAGCGCCTAAGGTGCGTTGAGTTCCTCACTCTGGATGCTGAATTTAAGTTGTTGACTCAGATTTCAACGCCTCTCTGTGCTCTCAATTGCTTTTACAGCAGGAAGGACGGTAGTTCTGATTTGCGCTTTATGGTAAAAGTCCCCCCAGGCAATTGAAGAAGGATGCGAAGAAGAAAAACAAAACGAACAAAAAGGGTCGCAAGAACGGAAAGGAAAAGGAAAAGGCTGAAAAGCCTGTGAGAAAGCAAAAAGCAGCACCCAAGCGGAAATCGAAGAAAGGCAAAGCAGCTGAAGCTGCTGCCGAGACTCCAGCTCCCAAGATTCCCAAGAGAAGCCGAAAGACTTCAGCTTCCGCCACCGCCGCCTAAGTGGCGCGGGATAGAGATTAATTCGATTGGTGGTTGCGAAGGCGTTCCTCAAAGCCTGTCATGGCTCTATGCAGCTTTAGATGTGGCCATATATACATTTAGGGGACTGGTTTGAACATCTTGCGCTTTGATGAGCACTATAGTTGCTCGCCAATCTTCGTGAAGGCATGTATGGACATGCTGTGGGACGATCAAAGCCCAAGGTGAAAAGAAATTGGATTGCTTTTTGCACTTCACGGCATCGACCCCCTTATCTTCTTCCCTCACCTTTTTTGAGGGGAACCAGTCGATCTTTCTAGCCATTCCGATTTCTTGCCAGGCCCATCCAAGAAAGCTAAGCACATGGCCTGGCGGTACAGCCACGGAGCTGCTTGGCTGCATGCCAGATTAAGCGCGAGCGATTGTGTGGAGCAAGAGTTGAATGGGGATTGAACTGAGAAACCTATATTTGAATCTTATGGGGGATACATGCCTTAGAATGGGGGTTCAACAAGTTTGCAAATTGTGTATATATATATACACATGCACTGTTTGAACATCCATGCAATGTTTGAACATGCGCCGCATGCACGGACTTTCGTCCAAGGAACCTTGTGTTGAGATTGTTCGGGCTGCCAAAGCTCATATCTCCGATCTAGCGGATGAGCAAAGACTTGGCTACGAGTCCATTTGCTGTCCAGTAATCCGAGCCCTCCACAAAGTGCCAGAGAGAGATGCTGTTTCTTTTTTGGGTCTAGTAATGTTTTTCCATGTGAGGTTGCCCCGGATCCCAGTTCTTCAAGCTATGTGTATATAACTAATTACAGTAAATTTTCGCTTTTGCTTGATTCCATCAAAACAAACCAAGGATGAAGGGGTGTCACGAATATTCCAATCTTTTGGGATGCTTTACCAAGTTCCACTCAGCTTTGATCCTGTTGGGGATCACTCTCACTTTCCATGGATCCGTCCGTCGAGCCTCCTCAGAACAATGTGCAGTACAGGGGATCTTCGTTTGCTTCTGGGGGGCATTCCAACTATGAGCGAAGCAAAAGGGGCACTAGAGAGCTTTTGGTCCATCTTTCAATCTGTTTGCCCAGAGCACGGGGTGTTCAGAAAACTTCGCGAGTCGAAGGGGAGACTGAGCACTTCTCAACTGATCCCAATACTGGTGCACGGAGATGAGGGAACAACATACAAGCGTGGAGGCATGCTTGTTCTCCAGTTCACTGGTGTCATAGGGCAGGGAAGCAAGAAGAGCGAGACACCAGAAGAATGGCACAAACATATGGCCTCCTGTGGGATTCCTCTGAATTTGATTCAGAACGCAATGACAACGAGGTTTCTCACGTTTCTTTGCCCAAAGGACAATGTTGGAAAAGTTGCATGCTTTTGGGGACCTGCAGCCTATATAGTTTATGTTGACGTTTTATATAACTTATGCTGCAAAAAACATTTGTTTTCAATGTGAACCATTCAGTGAGTGGTTAAGCCACTGCAGTGTTTTGGGATTAAGGGAGTGCAGCGACACTGCATGCAGGACATCTACAGCGATGATCCAAACATCTTCAAGCAGATCATTGAGTTGGTGGTCAATGATTGGAAGGACCTGGAGGAGGGGGGCTTCGAGGTGCCTGGCTTTGGCACGATGTTTCCCATTATTGTTGGAAACAAAGGGGATTGGAGCTACCTTGCTCCTTAACTTGAACTCTTCCAGTGACATTTTCTGATTTATGTGTTTTTGTTTGGCAGGGTCGCTGCCAAAGATGTTTCATGAACATGTGGAAAAGAAATGCGAGGTTACTTCAGCCAACTTGGAAAGATCCTACCGGCGAGCCCCCAGAGGCCGGCAAGAAGCAAAGAAGGCCATGAAAGACCCCCCAGGGATATGCTACCTATGTATGGGGGGGACACGAGAAGGTGATTGGGAAGATTTGATGCTTGTCATCTTTTGCGCATATCTTTTCTCAGGCTTTTTGGGTGGAGCGAACGTTTTGTCTTTGCACCTGAGCCTGTATTCGATCGATATTTGATTGCCCGCCCGCGTGTCAGGAATGTGGCAAGGAGATTGATCAGGGATGCCAGACTTATTGGCAGCACCACGCCACCATGGTCTGAGGAACCTCCATGGACCCGACTTCTACATGACGAGTCACCAGGCGGAAAGCACAGGTTCCACAAGATTGACATATGGCATACTTTCCACATGGGAGTTGGGAAAGCTTGGATAGCATCCTCAGTCAAGCTGCTTCAATTTGTAACTGGTGAGACCAGCGTTGACAAACGAGTAGAGATTCTCAACCAGGACTTTTTGCAGTACTGTGCCGAGAATAGAAAAACCAAGTATTTGAAGAAGCTGGAACCACGCACCTTCGGTTTGAAGGGAACTGAACCCATGGCTTCGTGGAACAAAGCTCATGTGACAGCCACCCTGTTGGAATGGATGCAAAGCTACATAGAAAAGAACCAGGCTGCATGTGATGCTGACCCCGAGCTTCGATTTGTGGTTGCCTAGATGTGTTTCTTCAACGGGTTCTGATTGATGTGTTTGTTTTTGCTTTTGTTTTTATTGTTCCTCTTGCAGGTGGTTAATTCCACTGCATGGGTCGATTCAGTATAGAAGAGCTGAGGCTTCTGGAACTCGGGCCATGAACTTCTTTTTCAGCACGTTGTTCAAAGAGCCGGTCTGGGTACCAAGATGTAAAGCAGAACCTTTGGTCCGGGCGGCCAACCACTTCCTGACTGCTTACCAGTTCTTGGCACATCAGAGTCTCGAGGCCAACAGGCCTGCCTTTTCCTTGCTCCCCAAGACGCACATGATACAAGAACTGATCGAGGAGATGGAATTTGAGTACAAGAGAAGCGGGTTCTGTTGGAACATAGTGAGCACCGCGTGTTTTCAAGAAGAGGACATGGTTGGCAGAATTTGCTTTTTAACGAGATGCGTCTCGCCAAGAAACCAGGCATTGAGGGCGCTGCACCGCTACATGGCCCGCTTGAACATATGTTGGGCCATGCGGTGATAGCATTGTGCAGCTTGAAGCTGGACCACTGTGGGGGAGAACAGCGGAAAATGAGTTTAGTCCGTTCACGGAGTGAGGAGGGTGCAAAGGCCATGGGTGTGCAGGGCTATAGCGTTGAGAGAGGGAACATGTAGCTCTGGTTTTGAGTGTTTTTCATCTCTTCTAAATGAGAGGATACATGCATTTCTCGACAGTT